ATCATGGCTAAACTGACCAATTACGGTCAACGGACCAGACTTATAACATCATCGACTGACAAACACTAATCAAATGACTCTGAAGATGACTTCCGCTCAGGTTGCGAAACGTCAGTCACCAACAACAGTTCTTTTCAGAACTACCCTCACCCGGACGATCACACCATACGAACGATTGACATACGAAACTTGGTCTAGTGCGAATTTAAGGCCACTGGAATATTTATAGAGCTGAAAGCCTTTTTTTTAACTTAACCTATAATAAGGAAACAGCAATAACAATAATCTTTATTGACCCACAGCAGGAAAACTTAAATTCCATGGGGAAGAATTACAGCATTGCAAAATGGTTATTTGCAACCCAGAGGTTAAAGGAACAGCCCCCAAGAGTTATTTAACCAAACCTGGTAAATAATGCTTAATGATGTTGTTTAGAGCATTGTTCTGACAGTAAACAATGTTTTACTTCTTTGGCAAAGGAAAATGCACTGACTTTTTTCAGGTCACAGACATAGACAGCAATTTTTTCTTGGACAATTCTGTGCAAGGGGGAAAGGCAAAATGAGGTTAACCCCGTGTAAAGCACCAACCCATGAGACAAGAGCAGACCACAACAACGGAAACTCCTGTCTTACTCTTTGGGATAAGTGTGCGAGATTGTAACGTTCCCTGCTAACCATGTAATGCCGAAGATGCAGGAGACGGGGCTTACGGTTTTTAGTCCTTATTCGAGAAGACTTGAGCGTGTAACCATTCGCAAATTAAATGTAATTTAGAAGGTAGCACATTCTCCTCAGGATAGATGCACGAGAGCTATTGTCTGTTAGGGGAGCATTTCTTTTAACAGCATTATTTCTAGGATGTACATGTACATTTCAGAGCAACTTTCACAAAACATTTGTGTACTACGAAAACGACACTTTTTTTTACCTGAACATCCGTCTGCTTCTGTGGGACAATCTTTATTTTCCTGTGATAGTCCCACACAGTCATCGCCGCCGTTTGCTGGAGCAGGATTGGTGCAGGTTCGAGTTCGAGTCTTAAACCCTTGAAGACAGAAGGTGGGCTCGGAGCATGTGGTCCAGGCAGTCCAAGTTGTAAATACGCCATCAACAGCACCTTAAGAAAATAATCACCTTTTCAGTTGATATTGTTCTTTAGCTTTATTTATTTTTTATTTTTAGTTATGTTAAAGTCATTTATTCAGTGCTTATTCTTTTCAGTCTATACTAATTGTTATTTTCCCCAGAAGGAGGATGTTAGGTTATAATAAATAACGTCCCAGTATATTTGTCAGGTTCTTGGAACTCATTAATTTACGTTTGGGAGGAACAAGAATGGTTTAGGATGATTAAGATAAACACGGTTTACAAAAGAACAAATTGAAAAATTTAGGCCAAACTTTTCAAGACGCGCGGACCGTAACGTAACTCCTATGTAACATATCCGGGTTTGACCCATAAATTACATGCCGATTCATTGCTAGAGGTTACCCAAAGAATCTGATAGAGTCCCTTCTATCATAAATAAGGAAAGGAAAACAGAAAAGGAAATCAGTTCTCCAGAGTAAAGATAGTTCTTCAAAACAAATCTTGCCTTTTGAAACACAATATCAACCATCAGTGCCCAACCTCAAATATGTTTTAATACAAAAATGGCACTTGATACAAAATCAACCTTTCCTACGACAAATCTTTAAAGTGCCACCAATCACTTCCTTTAAAAAGGGAACATCCTTTCAAAAATGGTACGCTCGTAAGAGCAAAAATATAAAGAGGCTATATTGCTTAAATGTTTCCATTGTTAGAAGTTGCGTAGGCCTGTCACCCGTTGCTACTCCCTTCTGTAAAATTTCAGCTTTAAATCAAATACTTATGCCAAGTTTCACGGTAACGGCGTTAACTGCAATAACGAAGCTCGCTCCACTGCGCTTGCTCTGACATCCGTCATGACAAGTTTATGGACTAGATCTGTACCCAAGTATCTATCAACAGCCCTGAAACGAGAGTTACCTGGACATGACGTCAGTTTACAGCTCTTTGCCTGATCATACTCCCCGGAGCAGTTTTGTCCCTGATTGGCGGGAACAGGATTAGTGCAGGTTCTACTTCTAGACTGAGTACCAGTTCCACATGTCTGACTGCAAGTTGTCCATTCTGACCACAAACCGAAACCTCCATCAACTGAAAAAAAAACTGATGTTAAGATATCGGGACATGTAACTTTGAAGTTCCGAAAATATAATGACCCTCAAAAGAAGCGATCCCTCAAAAGATGCGATAAAACTTTACGGTTGTTGACAAATCACGAAAAATAATAGTCATCATATAGTTTGCGATCAAGCTTTAGCATATAACTTGACTTGTTAAGCCAAACAATGGAAGTAAGGCAAGCAACCATCTGTAGTAAACTGATCTGGTAGTTAGTTTAACTTTATTTATTTCCATTATTTTGTGTGCGTAACTACGTTTATTTGTTTGCTTGTTTGTGTCCCTGACCTAAACATGTAAAGTATCTTTTCTTTTAACTGGCTGCCTGGAATTTTTTAATCCTATTAGTTATTTCGGGTAGTCAGCAGCCCTATCATTTTTGTTAAGTTTATAATATTGTGAGAAGTTAGTTTTAACTCTGGGGTAAAATATAAGTTTTTTGTCACGGTTTGTTGTTTGTTTTGCAAAATTAAATCGAATATATTTATTCAAACTATTTTGATTCATAGCAAACAGTATTAATCTCAAAGCGAACTTGCCTGGACAAGGTGTGAAGCAAGCTCTTGCGGTCTCTGTGTCGTTACCAGGGCAGCTTTGACCGCCATTCATTGGTGGTGGTTGATTGCACAGTCTGGTTCTTCTTAAGACTGTTCCTCCTGATATCCCACATGTTTGAGAACACTGTGTCCACGGACCCCACTGGCTCCAAACTCCATCAAGAGGAGTAGCTAAAGAAAGACAGACAGAGGAAACAATATCTTTGCTTATTTGCTTCGGAAATATTCGAATTTCTTGGTAAGCGATCGTTAGACGTCGGGCTGTACCCACACTCATCTGCACTCAGCGAGGAGAAAATAGCAGATGCGTAAAGGGAATCTTGGCAAAGAAAAACGTTTTGTTCCAAATTACAAGTTGGTGTTTATGTGAAATTATTTCAACGATTGGAAGTCGATAAGTAAGTGCAAAGAGTTACGACCGTTCTGTATAATCTGATCACGAGAGGCTAGGTGGCTGATCTTCATGTGTCGACGCTTAACCCCTGAAGGAGCATGAAGCCCTTAGATTGGATGTTGATCCCTTGCACGCTGCCATGAACTCCTCTCCACTCGTTCAACCCAGCATTTTTCTCAGATCTTAACAAACGTTCGTGGAGAAGGGTACTGTAGCAGTTAAGTCGACATCGTAATGCCAAAAAGACACATGAAAACAATATGTAAAAAAACGAAGGAAATAATGACCCCCAAAATTTGACTTACTTGGACACGGAGAAATACACGACAGCTTCGTTTCAAATGCGGCTCCAGAACATGGCTTCCCGTCGTCGGTGGGGGTAGGGTTAGTACAAGCTCTGGTTCTGTTGACTATGGATCCTCCGCACGGGTTTTCGCAGAGAGACCACTGACTCCATTCTGTATAGCCGCCGTCAACTGGAATGACATTTCATGACGATTAGGTTCAGATCGATCAGTATTCTTCTCCATGTACAATGTAATGGCTGGGAGAATTAATGACATATTGTGCTGAATAAATACTCAGCAGGAAAGTCACAGATCAGTGAATGGGCACTGTTTTTGCCTATCATGATATCAATCAGTATCTAACTTTTATATTGATAGACGATCTACTACCTTATTTGAGACATTTGTTCCTTTCAGTTTAATTGGCATGCTCGTAAACTAGATAGGTGTAGCTAAGCACATTTATTTATTTATTTGTCTATTTATTGATTTATTATTTTTTATTTACAGGTTGGACGAAGGATTCTAACAGTAAAAAGAAGTGACTGAGTAATCTCTATA